ATTTGGCAACTTTCTTACAGACACAAGTGTAAATCAAACGATTTCCCTTTGATGTTTGTCATCTTATCAAAAATTTAAAGCCAATTAAAGTGACATCAAATTGAAAGAGGCATAAAAGGTATGCAGGTACTGCAAATTCTTTGCTTCTTGTTAAATCCTTTACTTACTCTAGGATACAGCACACCATATTCTCACAAAGGAGCTCTAATACTGCTCTTAAACTACCTTGAAAATGGCAAGGCCCTGAGGTTTGTCAGAGATCCTTCTTCATTTTACCTTGGAACATTTTGTATCATCCAGTTTATGGTGCAGCTCTAGAGACTGCTTTGGGATAATGGAAAGTGTGAAATTACTTTATAAAGGCAGCAGTGAGTGAGAGCAGACATATTCAGGAGCCTCTTAAGCTGTTTTTTTCTGCTGGGGAAACAGAAACGTGGGGCCATGTCCTTAGTGCAGCTGGGTAGAACTGAGGCAGTTGGCAGCACTGATGGATTCTGTATGTTCCTGACCACTCTTGCTGACTCAACAGGAAGGTCAGCCTATGGACTCATACTGGCTTTTGTTGTAGGTGTCTGCCCTTTCACATCTGCTCCCAGGGACTCTTCTGCATAGAGTGTTTCCCAGGCATGGGTTTTCAAAGGAGAAAGTACAGAAAAAATGAAATTTGGAAAGTCATGAGAAATTACTTTATAGCCTCAAGACTGTGTAAGTCAGATTTTTCCTCCTTAATCCCTTTATCCAGAAACACTTCTGCTTGGTAGGGTTTTCCTCTCTGTTTGTAGCTAGACTGTGATGTCAGACAAGTGCATCCAGTTCTTAAGACTTGAGTTCAGTCCATTTAAACAAATGCTGACTTTCTCTTTCATAGAGAGTGGGAGAAAAAAAGAATTACTGAGAAAAAAAAATCCATACTTGGCCAATTAACAGGGTTCAAAGCCAGGGCAGGGCCCAGTTTCTCAGAGTGTGAATGAAGGGTATCCTTACAGTTATGTCTCTGCAATCTCTGGATACATTTCCTGTGGGTTTGCATTAGAGGGTTATAGCACTATCGTAATTTCTCTGGCATTATAACTAATACCGTGATTAATAGGATTTGTGCTATAGAAGGCAAAAAAACCCCTTATTTAAAAATCATGAGGAAGCCTTAAGAGCTATGAAATAATTAGTGCTTTTCACAGAAGGTTTTATGTTATTATACAGCCTGGAATGAGGCTCCGTGTTAGGCCAAGATTTCAAAGCTCCTTAGCGGCTTTCGATGTCTAGCTTGAGATATTTTGCCAAGTGTGAGGTTCAGAACAGGGACTCCTACTGTTTTCTAATAGTCAGTTCTTTTCATGTACTAATAATATAGAGGCCCCCTGCACTGTTTTAGAGACCATCTGTATTTGTGTGCATGAGTCTGTATCAGCCAGCATGCTTATCTCTGTGTAGGACTGATGGTTCAGACACCATATAGATATTTGGCTGGAAAATCCCCATTCTGTGAAATGAGCTTGTCCTGTTGAATCATCAGGACTGACTGTCATTTCACCAACAATTCTCTTAGAGGTAAGGGCCCCCTTAAGCAGTCTCCAATCCTCATCTCTATCCCTGGCTGCTTGTTGCTGCTCCTGTGTCACCTCTCACATGTGGGGCTACGTGAACTGGGGAACCTGTGACTTTGTTTTCTCCCTGGCTTACTCTAAATGAGAACAGCTCTTTTACTCAGCTCATCTTCTGGCTGCACAAACAGCAGCATTAATGACCAGTAGTACTCAAGAAGGCATGGCACAGGAGCAGGGCCAAATGGGAAGGGAAGGCTGGCAGTGCTAGTTATGGAAGTATGGCATGAATGAATGTGAACTGCAGCATCTCCAGTTCACTCATGACATGGAGAGTGAGCAAACCTGACAAACTTAAGGTCCATCATTCAGATTTTCAGAGATCAGGCATAGGTTTTGCATGAAAAATTCCATCTTATTGATTAACGTAGTGCTGAGAAGGACTTCATGTGGGCTGGATTAGGCTGCAGAATGCCACCACTGTGCTTCTGGGGCTGAGCTGAACACGCAACAAATGCCAAATGAATGACTACAAGGCTTCTTGACATAAAACATAGAATAAAACTTCCCAAAAGTAAGCCAGATCAGCTAGGTTGATTCGTTCAGCTAAGTTGTCACAGGAGAAGCAAGCAGTCAGAGGGCAGAGAGAGAGAGAGGACAATGATTTACACCAACTGAAACCACTTGCTGAAAAACAGGCATTGTAAAAACATTTCTGGCTGAAACTGTGCCTCTTCCCAAGTGGACTGAACTGAGCTGCACCAAGACCTTTCACTATAGAATAAAGTATAGAAAAGCTCCTTTGCTTAGTCTGGTGGCATGGACCAGGGAGTTAACAGCTAGATTTGATAGGGTGGATATACAACAGGTAAAACAATTGTCAGAGTATAATTAATTTCAGTTAAATAAATGTAATGCATTGTCTGATTTGGCAAGGAATCTCACTAAAGGTCCAGGGGGGAAGAGGACGAGGGAGAGGAGATCACTTGCCCTGTTACATTGGAGAACAAAAGTAGATCCAAGTGCATGGGTTGGAAAAGCATATTTTATAAAGAAAAGGCTCAGAAAATACAAATTCATATGTAATTCAATGATTGCTCCTCTGAGTGCTTTTACACCTCAACAAAACAAAATTAAAGTATTTGCTGAAAACCTTATGTAGCAAAGTACATGCATGCACAAATAACTATTTTTTTAAATTCTTCACCAAAAGAAGCAGAGTGCTGAGCTGACCCTGGTGAGTATGATTTTACTGTATCCTGAACTTCCCCAGCTTCCTCTGATGCCTTTAGAACTGATGTCCAATGGCTCACAAGAAACCTTGAAGAATGAGGGCCCACATTAATGCTTCCTATAAATCTAACCAGATAGCAAAAGAGAGCAAATTCTGGATTCAAATTCGGATTCCAACACTTTCCTGTGCTTATAGAGTTTGCTTTGGGCTGACCTGCCCTACTTACATGATATACACACCAGTCATGAACGCGTCCTCATCCCTTGGTGCAAATCAACTTCCAACATCCTCACATGGCTGAACACTGCAAGACACCTTCTCTTTGGGGAGTTTGAAAACTCCCAAGACTGATTTTACAGGTGAGCAGAGACAAGGGTCCTATCCCTTTTTCTTTGCTGTGGCAGGCTAAGTCCATAAGCAGTTTGGAAACAGGGGCCACAGTAAGCCACATCCCTCCGGAGCCCAGCATGCAAATGTGTACCAGTTGTGAGATGCAGTCCCTGCTCGTGGCTGTCTTCTCCAGGTAGCTGTAATTGTCCTCACAGCTGTTTCCCAGCTGTGAGTGAGAAAAGCAATCAGCTACCAGATGCTTAACAACTACAACAACCAGGCTATATATTTCTTCCTTCTTCAATGTATTTTTTTTTACTGATGTCTGTTTTCTTGCAATCTTACCACAAGTTTTTGTGAGGCTGAGTTCCCCATATCACATATCTCAGCTTACATTTTGAGGAATGGGGATTGTCTATCCTATGCAAGGTGTAACTTTTGTGAGACAAATCTAATGTTGGAGAAGAGAAAGTGAATAAAAACCCTGAAATTTTTCATGTTAAAATTTCACTGGTTTTTAAGGACATCTGATAATTCTGTGGGTTGTCTGGATGATAAGCTTTGAGTGCTTGGAGCTAGCAGTACTGATTTATACTACCCTTTCACATTCTGTGAGGTCTTCTTAAATATGTGGCTTTACCTCTTTAGCATGAATCATACATATCAATAGGCACAGAGCTTTTGCATGCATTAAGTAATAATAATAACACTGAACATCTGCAACTGCAGAAATCCAGATGTGCTTGATCTCACACATTTCAGCAACTAAAATGAGGTTGGAGGAGGCTTTAGTGGCCCAGACTTTGCTCAACAAGCAGTTACTTCTGAAGCCCACAGCTCCCAATAAAGGCCAAAGACACTGCTGAAGCTCTGCATCCTTCAGGATGAGGCACCGGATTGCTTTCTAGCACCTGCCACTGGACCTGTCTGCCAGCTTTTCTTTTTCCCCTCAGAAGGTAGGGGTTTCTGTCACAGCTCACAGCCTGTGCTGCTGCTGAGTGTATCAGCTGCTGCCAGTGCAAGTGGGCAGAGTAAGTCCCCAGTGCAGCTCTGGCTCAGGAGGACACCTTCAGCACTGAAAGGGGCTCAACAGCCCCCCGGGCTGGCAAACACAGGCAGAAGTGGCACCTGGCAGTGAAGCTGCATATGCCTTCACTGATGTTCCCAGCAGCAACAGCATTCAGTCTCAGCAGAATCCTTTCTGCTACAAAATCCAAGTGCTAAAATGTCAGTGTCCTTTATGCACAGTGGTAGATCCAGACCCAGACAGGGCAGTGTGAATTCCATGCTGATTTACAGGAAAGGCCAGTCACTCTCTGTTGAGACTGCTTTCTCCAACTCCACACCAAGGGAAAGTACTGGCAGAAAGAGATAATTGCTCTTCTCACTCTTTCTTCTTTTGCATAGGTGTTGGGGGTCCCAACTGAGGACACCTGGCCAGGACTTTCCAAGCTCCCCAACTATAACCCAGGTAGGATTTAACTCACAAGAAGGCCAACTTTTTCTCTGAGCCACTAGCCACTCGATTTTTGGGTCAGTAATTCTCATTATGAAAAATCCTGTGCTTCAGTGTTACTGAATCCCTTGAGCTACTTAATGACAGCGGTGTTGTAGGACCTACAACAACAGTGGGATTGGCCTAGTATGCAATCAAGGGTACATGCATGGCAAAGTTGCTTCAGTGAGTGCTGGATATACGTAAGTATAAAGGGAGATTTCATTGCTGCAAGTGCTCACATTCTCCACTTCTCAGTGCAAAGGACCAATGTCTCCTGGTTTAGACTGGAAAAGCTGACAGGCACCTGGAGACACAGTTTATCTGAACTCTCTTTATTTTTATGGAGATTGGTTTGGGGACCTTTAAACCTCAGCTTTAAAGGTCACTGTCCCTGATTTTGATGTGGGCAAGGTGAGAAATCTGTGTGATTTATAAAGCTGGATTCTTTTATTTCCACATGGGCTGGTAGAGGAGTCTGTGTCCTGGACTTCAAAGGGCCAGTTGTCTCTTATTTTGATGTGGGCAGGTTGAGAAGTAGGCTTTGAAAAGCTAGCTCAGTCACTCTCCCTCTCCCTCTCTCTCTCCCTTTCTCTCTTTCTCTTTTTGTTTAATGTTTTCTCCTGGGAAAATATATTCAAGTGTCAGTGAGGGGGAAATGATGAGCACTGATTCTCAGCCTCTCAGCAGGATCGTTCTGTAAAAGAAATATAAAAGTGAAATATTAAAAACCCTGGAATGTGAAATTCACCCATCTACAATCTAGCCATTCTCTCTCACTTGTACCCTAGGAGAGTGGTGGGGGGAGCCTGTCTATCTGGAAGGAGAAAAAAAGAGCAGGGGGGAGAGGAGGAGGGAGAAGACGTGCTTTGAGCAAGAGGTTTGCAGGTTTAGTAGAGCATAGTAACATCTTTTCAAAGAAGTGGGTGTTGCTCTGTGACCCAGTCCAAGAAGCCCCTCCTTTGATTATGTTGCATGAACACTAAACAGCCCCCATTTTCACATGGTAGCCGAGATTGGCTGAACAATAACCTGGCCTCACAGTCGAAAAGACTGGAATCCTTCACACAATTAGCTGAGACACATTAATCAAACCAGCGTGAAATGGGAATGTGTCGCTGTCCACAGCAAGTTTAATTTGGATAGCAAGCAAGCACAGAGCAGACAGCTGGAGGAAGCATTTTCTTCTCTAAGTTGTAGAAGGCTTGGCTGGGTAGTCTACACATTGAGAAGAGTAGTCTGGGAGGAAAGAAATGCTCATTTGTGGGACATACTAATCACAAAGAATTTTTTTATGCCAGTCATCTGCTCACACAAGGCCAAAAACTCTCAGTGATGATGATTAGGTATCCTGATACTATATAGAGGGACAACCTAAAACTGCAAGCATGAAGGCTACACTGGCAAAGAAACTTGTTCAGACAGCGGAGAATGTGAGTGCCCAGAAGTGCCCTGAGCAGTGACTCCCTCTTAGTGGTGTTTGGTCTGAGGAGCAGTGCTGTCCTCTGCTCTGCAGAGGGTGCCTTTTGCAGGGCCATGAGGGAGAGGACAGGCATGCAGGCAGCATGGCAATAGCTCCAGTAAAGTCAAGTCTAGTCATCATAAGCAGTTTTCAAGCCTGACTTGCTTTCAGACTTGATAAAAAAGTCCCCTTAATGGATGGACTCCAGAGGGCCAGAATTGACCTGTGCTGTGATCCTGGGATGCTGGCACCTTTTGTGGCTGGACCAGGCAGAAATACAGGAATCAGAAGATACCTTTCTGTGGGAGCATCCCAGCATGCTAGCAAACACATGGGAGAGGGGAGTTACATCAGTATTTGGGGCAATAGCTGTGCCAGCTTGAGAGGCAATATCCCTTTCCCCTCCTCAAAACCTGCCTAAGGGGCTGTGAGCTGTTCCAGCCACATACTGGAACGAAGCACTTAGCATGCACCTGGGTTATACAAACCATTCTAAACAGAAGAAGGTTAGTCATATAAGGTTGAACTATTTACCCTACTGAGGAACTAAATCAAGTGCTTTTTGATGAGACTGCTGGTAAGAAGGCAAATTAGTCTCCTTGTTTAAAGCTATTTGCCATTTACATGCTTCTGGGTGCTTCCCCTCTCTTCCCTGAAGCACAAAAGCTGTTCATACCCCAGGACTTGCTCAGCCCCTGTGGAATCTGTGGAGTCTGGCTGAGAAAACCTTCTCTCCTGAGGTTATTCCCAGACCATTTGTGTGAATCTGGGTGCCTGGGTTGGTTCAGATAAGCAAACAAACTTTGGAGCTCTTCCCCAAATCTGATGGTTTGAATTCTTTTAGCTAGTCCTATTGATGTTCGAACTGAGCACAGGCAGCAAACAAACAAACAGGTTCCTGCCCGAGGCAAGGAACAAACACGGGCAAAACAAAGCACTGAGGTGTGATCCTATTCTCATTGAAGTTGATGGCAAAACTCCCCCTGGATTCAGCAGTGTAGGCTCAGCCCCAGACTGAGGTTGTTACTGGAAGGGTTCCTGAGCCAGGTGGGTTAGTAGGAATCTTTGAAATGAAAGCTGGAAACCTTTAGATGTTTTCCTGTCACTACTGTGGGCTTGAGCACATCCTGCTGCAGTCTGAACAGAAGATACAGCATGGGCTGTGGGGTCTGTGAGCCAGGCACACACAGGGCAGCTGGAGAAAAAGCAACTCCACTGCCTCCTCTATGAGCAACTGGCAAGGGATGAAATGCACAAAGGAGTATTTGACCACCTGTGTCTTCTTGCACAAAGAAGCTCAGAAACAGCCTCATGTCCATTGCCTAGTTTGCCAAAATCTCAACCTGTGCCTGGCCACAGGCGAATAGGAAGGATAGGTGAGCAACTTGTCCATGGCCAACCCTGATGACTGTGATCTCATCTCCCGTCTACACAAGAGGAGACACCTAGGGTAGGGAATTACATGCAGTTATGGGGCCTGAAAGTATGTTGTTCCTCCCCTCCTGGCTTGAGAACCATTTCCTGGAGAGCATGAAGGGTTGGGAGAACTCCTGCCCCACATCTCAGCACACTCGCTGGCCCTCTCCCTGGCTCCCTGGGCTTAGCAGCCCTGCCTGTAGTGACAAGGCTTTGCCCTGTGTTTGTTCATTTGTTCTGTTCTCCTCATTTTGCTTCCCCTGAAAGAGGCAGTTGTAGCTCTGTTAACACTATTTTTGAAAGCTCTCATGCTGTGTGAGCTCAAATCCTTGCATTAATCTACTGCTGTGTTCATTTCACTGCACTGAAAAGCAGTGAGTTTAAATCCCCTCTAAACACCATTGGTGACACCAGAAGGCCACTGTTTTGATCCAGCCCCATTAATGGTTACAAGTTTGAATCTAGACAGCGGGGGTCAAGGGCAGGAAAGGATTAGGAATCACAGCCCATGACATTAGGCTGGTGCTTTTGCCAAACTGGGAATACTGGAGTGTCCAATGTACCAAGTTAGTTTTTGTTTCCTTTTTCTTACATTTGGATTCCAAAGAGTGAAGAACAGTGCTTATCTATCTAGAACATGATGAACTTGCTATGAGTGAGCTTTATTCCTTGATTTATCACACAGGCTGATTGATGAAGTCTCCTATGCCAGGTAGTATCACCTTATGTGCCAGACACAGGTTTTACACAGCACCCTTTCAGATGCACCAGACTTTCAAATTAAGCCTAGTTTTTTACAGATCTGCAGGCTTTGATATGAAGAATGAGATTAGAAGCTTTCCAGGGGCAGCTTGTGCTCCCAGGTACAGAATTTCAGTGTCTGTTGAGTTTCCAAATTATCACCAGCAGATGGAGGCAACAAGCAGCAGGCCCTGAAACGCAAACTTCCCATGACATCTGTGAGAATGCAGATGAAGGCTGCACTCTGAGTGCTTTTCCTTTTTTTTTTTTTAATAAGTCTCACTTTTTATGCTGACGTTTCATTTAGTGAATGGGATGGTTGAAAACTGAATTCTAAAACGATAAAATTTTTGTTGTCATAACAAACTGCATGTGGCTTTGATTTCAAAGGGAAGAGCAGCACTGTAACTAACATGCAGTATATGCTGGGCAGGGTGTAGGGAAACTTCCTATCTGTGTGGCACTGGGCACAGCCTACAGTTTCCAGCCTGCCACACACACAGAGCTCTGCTTCTGTCCTGCAGCCACAGAGATTTCACTAATGAGAGAAATTTTCCCTGTGAGCCTGCAAGCACAGCGCCTTCGTCCAGCAGCACTTGGCATCCTCTTTCTCTCTCTTCATCAATTAGGAAAGTTTAACTTTTGTCCTCTAGCTTGCTTGCCTCATTATCAGTTCATTAGCCACTTCCACCTGGGTTTTCAATAGGAAGGTATTTCCTCATTAGCACAAACTGCCTTGCATACGGACAGAGAAAACCAAACCTAAGCTACCTCTTCAGATCTACTCATATTGTTAAGAAAGCCAATCAGCCCTACACAATCCCATCATTTTTATGTCTAGATCATCATCGTGAGACGATTAAATCAGTAGTTCATCCACTTTTTGGAATGATATCCAAATATTCTTTATCTCTTACCTTTAGGGAGTAGCTGTTTACATTGTCTTACAATTTTAGATTGGTCTTAATCTTACAGCAGGGAAAATATTTACTGCTCTGTTTTCACCCTGCTCAACACAATGGTTCCTTGGCATTCTCTAAGGGTTTGTCTATGTGGGGTCAGTCAGGAGATTAATCTGAACTGATTTAAAGTGGATTAGTTAACTGCACTAAATCCTCGAGCAGAGATGCACTGTTTTCTTACCCATATCTTCCATTTATAATCAAAGTTCTGCACACTCAAAGTGGCAAGTTTGGCAGTCCTCACTCCAGCGGAATTCTCCACAGAGAGACGTGTTTGGTCAGGGACAGCCGTAGTTGGCTCAGTGGCTCTTACACTATCCCTTGCAGATAATTATTAATATCCATGTTATATAAATGATAAATTTAAGTCAAGAGGCTTGCTCAAGACAGCAAACACTATAACTCGGGTATTCCTCCCAGTTCCCAGTAAGCAAGCTGATGTTTCTATTGGTAATGTAAAGAAAATCCTGTTTCCTCTTTGGAATATTAATCCTGAAAACTCACTCCATAAAAACAAAGTGACATTTCACTTGGATATTATTGAAACATTTTACTCTGCTGTAACCAACTGAACATGCATTTTTTTAAATTTTATGTTAAACTCATTAAAGAATATTAATGTTAAAAGATTTCAGTAGAGGAAATACAATATTTCAGTCTTCTTGACATTTTTACTAAATATTAAATGAAATTGATATATTATCATGGAATATTTCCATCTCCCAAATGAAATTTTTCTGGCAGAAAGATATAACATCTGAAAGATTTTGGCCACCTCTGTGAAGAGGCAAAAATTTCTATTTCATACAGAAAAACCTTATGCATTTCGAAACCATTTTTTAAATTGTTTTTCTTCTATTCTACCTGGAAATTTTACATCTTTACTCAATATGGATAATGTATTTCTACACATTTATTACAGTCAAGGGAGCAAAAAGAAGGAAAGATGATCCAGTGAAAATGTTATTAGAGATCCAAGGGGAATGTTGTGCCAGTTAGTCTTGGTGACTGATTTGGGAAGGGAATATTCAAGATGCTAACATATAACTTCTATATATTGGCAATAATTCCAGTGCTCTGGCACCTAAACATGAATCCCATCCCAAGTTATATTGT